CTCTGTAAATGGCGATCCTTCGGAAAAGGAAAGACAAAAGCATCCATTATAATAAAACCGAGAGCGAAGCATGACGAGGAGTCACGCCGGCCGCGTTCAAAGGACGTTAAAAAATAAAGAAACATCTGAAGCTCCAGTCGTGTCGGGCCCATTTCATGCAGTTGGTGATTAAATGATTTAAGCTCTAACAGCTTGTCCCATCTGCTGTCCTGCACACACTCCGCACAGCACATCACACACTGTGGGGCCCGGTGATGTCATGTTCTGCCTCGTATCCCAGAGTTCCACACACCTGCAGTGGATTAGCTTGTGGGTACAAAGCAGGGCTGGACCATAGCGCCGAAATTTCTCTTTTATACGAAACCAAGACGAGACATCCTGAAAATAACTACATTAATACTTTTAAAACTGTTCTTTGCCCATAAGCATGAAATGTGTACAGTTTATCTAGAACCTAGGGAACTGTAAAAGAAATTTAAACACCTCCATTTCCACCTGTTAGCTCGATCTCCTTTTATCAGACGATGCTACCAAGGTGGAAGGTGAGCACATTCGTCCTCTGAGACACGTGAAGCTCCAGCAGATCTTCTCAAACTGCCACTGATGCAACATCACAGGAGCTCAACACGCTTGGAGGAGAACACTAACTGCTAATTCTGTTATGGCTGCTAAAAGATGCCCAGGTTGGCTGGCCTCGTGCTGAACAGGGGCGCTAGCTGCGCATGTAAATGTAACGAATCAGCGACTCAACGTGAGCCATCATTAAATAAGAAAATTAACATGAAAAGTAACCTGAATGAAGCTGTGAGAAAATGAACGAGGCAAAGCAGAGCGTAAGGAGCAGGATTATCATGGAGAACGTGCAGAAGTCTGCTGTTCCTAAAATAGAACATCAGTTTGAGAGGCGGAAAGAACATCCACAGGCTTTAGAGCAATGAAGTTAAATTAAACCACTTACAAAGACATCATTCATCTGTATTCTTTAATTAAAAAAAAAAACAAAAACAAAAAAACACCCTCCATACAAAAGTATATATACAATGTCACATTGCAACAGCATTTATCTAGCATTCATTTTAAATTACAGTCCATATCAACAGTTAACAAACCACAGCGCTCGATCCTGATCACAGAAATTAAAAAACAAAAAAGAAATAAAAAACGAAACAGGATGTGACATTTGAAAGACAAACAAAAACAAATGGGAAATGTTGCTGCTCGCTTTCTGAATCTGATCACTGAGCTCAACACTAATGTGGAGGGAAATTAAATGTTTTAATTGCTATTAGAGATGAATACTGCTATAAACTGAGGCATTAACGTCCTCACAGCCACACAGAACCAGACTCCGCCCACAAATGTGCTCTTTCATAGCTACTGTTGTGAGGCTGGACAAACTTTACAGAACACTGGTAAAAAAAATCCTTTAAACCTAATAAGAAACTGTAGAGCTCAGTTTATATCATAATACATACAGTTTCTCATTAGGCTGAATGAATAACTGACTCTAAATGTAGGTATTGTGATATAAACTGAGTCTGTTCTACAGTTTCTCATTAGGCTGAATGAATAACCGACTCTAAATGTAGGTATTGTGATATAAACTCAGTCTGTTCTACAGTTTCTCATTAGGCTGAATGAATAACCGACTCTAAATGTAGGTATTGTGATATAAACTGAGTCTGTTCTACAGTTTCTCATTAGGCTGAATGAATAACCGACTCTAAATGTAGGTATTGTGATATAAACTGAGTCTGTTCTACAGTTTCTCATTAGGCTGAATGAATAAGTGACTCTAAATGTAGGTATTGTGATATAAACTGAGTCTGTTCTACAGTTTCTCATTAGGTTGAATGGGATTTTTATTTTATCAGTGTTCTGTAAAGCTACCTAGCAACAGTAGCTATGAAAGGGGGTGGAGCAATTAGGTCCATTAGATTCTTACAAAGTTTGGGATAAATATGATGGAAATATGGAGAGAGTGTTGATTAAACAGGGCGGTAGAAAGAAAAGGCCTAGTTTACCATGCAGTGCACGTAATCTGCTTTCGGCAGTTTTATAAACACTGAAGAGTATTAGTGAGATTAATTTGTGAAAAGGTTTGGAAAGAGGTAATATTTAAAAACAAACAAACAAAAATAAGAACAGTCCTGCTGAATCCCTGCCGAAAGCTGCTTGATTTCGTGAATCCGATTTCTATAATGTTTCTAGAAGTGCTGCCCATGGTGAAGATTTGTGGAGCAATTCTAGAATCTTCAGTTGGTCTTAAACCCAATTTCTCTAAAAGTATTGTCCCTGGAAAAGATATCTAGAGCATTTCTAGAACTCGGTTAACCCTGGTTCCAATTTCTAGAATCTTTCAGACAAGTCTAGAAGATTGCTAGGATCTAGGTAATTCTAGATGTCCTGCGCCTGACCAACATCTTTAGAACATTTCTAGAAACTTTGGCTGGCCTAATCTAATTTCTAGAATGCTCTAGGTAACTTTTAGTAGGCCTTGAATCTTAAACATGTCCTAAACCTGACCAACATTTTAAAAACATTTCTAGAAGCTTTAGTTAACCTTGAAGTTATTTCAAGGTATGATTTCTACAATCTTTTTTAAAACTCTAGATGTCCTGCACAATAATTCTAGAACTTGTCTAGGATCTCCATTTAGCATTGGAACTGCTCTCTAGAACCTTCTTGACAACTCTAGACAGCTTGTCTAGGATTTCCAGAAAATGTTTTGAATAGTCGGTTGGCCTTGAATCCTACTTTTAGAATCTTCTAAAAGACTCTAGACATCCAGCACCTGAATAACATGTCCAGAACATTTCTAGAATATTTTTTGGGCCTGGTCTGACTTCTAGAATCTTTTAGGCAGTCAGTAGGCCTTAAATCTTTTAGATGTCCTATGTGGCCAACATTTTTAGAACACTCTAGATGTCCTGCACCTGACTGTGATTCTAGAACATCTCTAGAATCTTCCATTAGTTTTGGATCTGATTTCTCTAAAAGCCTTGTCTAGGATTTCTAGAAAATTTCTTGAATGTTCAGTTGGCCTTGAATTCTATTTCAAGAATCTTCTTGAAACTTGGTGTCTTGCACTTGACTACGATTTTGAGAATCTTCAGTCAAATTTGGTTTCTAGAACCTTTTAGATAACTCTAGAAACCTTGTCTAGGATTTCTAGACAATTTTAAATATGCGGTTGATCTTGAATCATATTTCTGGAATCTTCTATAAAACTCTAAATGTCCTGCGCCTGACCAACATCTCTACAACATTTCTAGAATATTTTGTTGACCTAATCTGATTTCTAGAATCATCTAGGCAACTTCCAGTAGGCCTTGAATCTTGTAGATGTTCCATGTTTGGCCAACTTTTTTAGAACATTTTTACAATCTTTCTGAGAACATCTCTAGAATCTTCAGTTAGCCTTGGATCTGACTTCTAGAACCTTCCAGACAACTCTAGAAGCCTTGCCTAGGACTTCTAGAAAATTTCCTGAATATTCATTTGGCCCTGAATCCTATTTCAAGAATCTTCTTAAGAACTCTAGATGTCCTGCACTTGACTATGATTCTAGAACATTTCTTGAATCTGATTTCTAGAACATTTTTAGGCAACTCTGGAAGCATGGTCTAGGATTTCTAGAAAATTTCTTGAATAATTAGTTGGCCTTGAATCCTAAAACTCTAGACGTCCTGCACTTAACTACGATTTTGAGAACATTTGTAGAATCTTCAGTCAAATTTGATTTCAAAAATCTTGCAGGAACCTCTAGATGTCCTGCGCTGTGATGAGATCTCTTTTCAGTCGGCCTGCACGGAACCAGCCTGATAAATCAGCATGTGAAGAGTGTGAAGCTGTGTGTACGTGTATGTACTCCAGGCTCGTGAAGGGTGCATGAGAGCGCGTCACCGGTGCAGATGTTCCTCATCCCTCAACTCCACCATGGAGATCATTGCATGGCATCATAGAGAGGAATCTGAGTCTCACACCTCCAACTTCTCCAACAAACACGCGCAAAAAGACGCCTGCCAGGCATTTCAACCACAAACATTCTCTTTTATTTCGTTTGTAAGGGTTATAGAAATGCTTCGAGAAGTGCAAATTGGTCAACAATCCAGATATTTCCTATTAATAGTAATAATAATAATATATCTCTTTATGTACTGTCTATGTTCAATGCAGTCAGGGCTGGGCCATGTGAAGATAAGGCCCATCTGGAGGTCTTTAAAGGAATATTCCAGCATCTTTCAACCAATCTCTGTTTGATGCATCTGTATCATACGGTCAGTTACCATGGGCAGTAACTCTGTCACATTAATGACAGATCTGAGTCACTCACCTAAACGAGTGTGAACCATCGTGTCAGAGAGATCGGATTTGAGCAAAAATCGGATTTGAGCAACGAGAACCCACATTCCTGGTGGTACCCACATCACTGGTAACAAATTAGTCCAAATTCTTCCCTTTGGAAAACTACACTATAGAAAATAATGGTTCTTCAAGGGTTCTTTAGTAAAGTATAGAACCATGAACACTCCAAGAATCATTTGCATGCTTAAATGGTTCTTTGCATGGTGAATAGTTCTTCAGATTGATGTGTTCTATATGGTTCTAAAAAGCACCAAAAAGGGTTGCAGGATTGGCATCATAACAACAAAAAAACGTTTTTGGTTCTATATGGAACCATTTACAACACATTCAACCTAATGAGAAACTGTAGAACACAACTTCTTTAGTAAAGACAATGGTTCTATACAGAATCATGAACACTCAAAGAACTATTTGCATACTTAAAACGTTCTTTGAAGGGTGAAATGTTCTTCAGATTGATAGATAATGTGTTGCATATGGTTCTACATAGCACCGAAAGGGTTCTTCTATTGTCCATTTTTTGTCCATTTTACAGTTTCTATACAGAAGCTTTTTGCTATAGAGAACCTTTTCAAAAAGGTTCTGTATAGAACCATATACAACACATTCTCCATCAATCTGAAGATCGACTGCACCATGCAAAGAACTTTAAGCAAATGGTTCTTTGAGCGTTCATGGGCCTCTGCAGAAACATTGTCTTTACTAAAGAACCTTTGAAGAACCATCTTTTGAGAGTGTAGTCCCGTCTCAGAGACGTACAGTTTAATTTACAATTACCTGGAAACCTTCCAAAAAATATGAGTTTTGCATGAAATCCAGCACCTGCTCATTGGCGTCTACTGTAAGTGAGTTTCGAGTTACTGGTTTCTTTGTTGTTTTCCAATTTCAGAAAAATTCGTCAAAACGATTGACTGCATGCTGCTGATAACAGAGATTAGGTTCAATATGCTGATGAGTATTCCTTTGACCTCTTGAGTCCCGTGCCCTCAGGTCCATGTTCCAGTCATTTGTCTGAGTTTTTCCTCGGCCGTCGGAAGCTGGACATGTTCTCGTTTAGTGCATAGATGCGTCGGGAGAATTCCTCGAATCCAGCAGCGTCTAACTCTCCTAGAACCTGATCGTCGCTTTCCACAGCAACGGCGTGTTCAACAGGAATACACGGAAAATCCTCCAACCTTGCGCCTCCGCTCAATCCCAACCCCAATCCCAACCCTAATCCTAGGCCAAGGCCTAAACCTGTGGCTTCAGTGCCCATAATTTCCTCCGCTTGTTCCACGGCCGCGATTCCGACATTCACGCCGTTCCCAGGCACGGCCGATCCGTTCATGGTGCCTGGAAGTTGGCTAGTTGAGGCTTCTTCCAAAGGACATCCGGCAGGGAGGCCATCTGGAGGTTTGGTTTCTTCTCCAGGTTTTTCTTCTAGATCTTTCTCAACCTCAACGTCTGCCTCAGCTGCTTCGTTCGGGGGCCCAGCTGCTTCCTCGACCTTCACCTGGCCGTCCGCATCAAGGGTCTTGGCTAAATCAATGCTAGCATCAAGAGAGGAGCTCAGAAGGTCAGGAGGGTCAGGCGGAACTTCTGGGACAGCTATCGGGTCACACTGGGCCGTGGCCGTGCGATAGCTGGGCGGAGGTGTTTGCATTTCTTTGTATTTCTGTTTATCTGCCTCCGAACTCGCTCTTTTGCGGGTTCCTCGGTCCGGAGAGGCAGGGAAAGTGATCTCCGAGGCAGCGGACACACTCAGTTGAGACTTCAGAGGGACCGGGATGGAGCTGGAGATGTGGTGGCGATCGCTGAGAGAGAGAGAGAGAGAGAGAGAGGGAGAGAGAGAGAGAGACATTTATATACTTACATACTCGTAAAACATCTGTGGTTTTATGAACCCAAAAAATCATAATTCATGTCTACATGACCATTTTCCAACCTCTCTTAATCCCTTCGAATTAAACAGGCTGTTTTCGTTACCGTGCCTTTAAGACTGCTATATGTAAATGAGCTCTGTTCTGATTGGCCGCCCCATTTTGCACCTCCTTTAAAAGCAGCACAGACTGTATGGACTGGGAAGTCAATTGATGTGTTTTGAAACTTACCGTTGGCTGTAAAGATGCATGTATTTTCTGATTCAATATGAATTTCAACTCTGAGGTTAAAATATGTAAAAATGGTTACACAGAGCTCTAATTCTGGTCTAAACAGGTTAACTTGGTTAAGACAATGAAAAGTCTCTAGTTAATAAAGCCCAAAAATCACAACCTCTACAATTTATAAACTCATCATATTAAAAAAAAAACCCAGTCATTTGAGAGTGGGTGTGTCTGCAACATAACCCCGCCCCTCCCTAGTCCACTTTACTGCATAGGCTGCAACCAGGGCTACAATCACCACCAGCAAAATGTAGAAAAATCTTTGATTAAATGGAAACTGTGGTGCGCTGGACACTGTTACGCTAGTGTTGCAACTACGGCAGCTGAGAAGGCCATTCTTGGCGTCCTTCTCTAAATATTTTCGGGCCTGATGAATCGGGTTTAAATACGTGTTTGATACTTCAAAATACATCTTTGAATGTCTTCAGCTGTTGAATACACCAAGCTTCAGCGGGCGCATCTGTAGAGAACTTCATCAGAATCCACTGTGCGCACTGCCTTTTTAGTATGACAAGTCACTGCTGATTGGGTAACACCTGACACGCCTATCAAATGAGAGAAAACGTGTCTCAAAGCCCTCTGCACACAGCTTTGTAAGGTTTTGAAGAAACAGGCGTTGTTCAACCTGGCAACCGTAGCACACCTATACTTGTTTTGAGATTGAACGTGCCACAGACGTCTATCTAATTCGGTCGATTTCTACCAAAGTCATGGCCAGAGAGTTTTTCATTTCCACACACTATTTCAAATGTTTCATATCTTTCAAATATTGAAAAATAAAACGTACACAGCCCAAACGTAGTCAATCAGTCAAGACATGCTTGGTGTCTGAAGTTTGTTTCCCTAGGTTTAGCACTGGACTTACAAGGCTAATGTAGTGAAATTATACAGAAAAACGGACAAATTTCAGACCTGCTAGTGTTTGTAGCTACGCTAACGTACTTGTAAAGTCCATGTTTATAGATAACAGAGAGTCATAGAGTGTCAGAAACCACATAATCAAGACTATTAGGCTGCGTTCACACAGCAGGTGAAAGTGGTCCAAATCTGATTTTCTCACCAAATCCGATTTTTTGTTAGGCTGTTCACACGGTCTTTAAAATGTGACCTATATGCGACAGTCTGAACTGATCAGCTCCTAAACGGACCCACATACGCAAAAGAACAATTTACCTGCTGTGTGAACGCAGCCTTGACGCTGCAGTCTCGGTCTCCTGCGGCCGCGTTCAGCCATTTCTTTCGAAATCTCTTCGAAGACGGAGGGTTTTGGATGAGTCTCTTCTAATTTTTGTACAGAAATATCAGCCCAAATGCGCAGCACAAAATGACGAATGTGGAGTTGGTTTGATGTAAAAGTCGCATGAATTCCGATCTGGCTGTTCAGACTGAGTCGCATTGCTGCAGATCGGATACGTATCGGATTTCAGTACCACATATGAAAGCATCTCAAACCGGAACTGAAAATATCAGATTCAGTGTGTTTATCTGTTCACACTGACACACAGACACACATCTGTGTCACACATGAAGAAAAAGATCAGATTTGGACCACTTTTACCTGCTGTGTGAACAAAGCCTTAGAGCAGGGGTCGCAACCCAAACGTTAAGAAGATCCATTTTGTCTTTAAACAAAAATCAAACCACTTTGGGAGCCACGTTTTATGTCCATTTCACCATCTTGTCTGTAAATATGTCTCAGTATGTGCTGAAAAAATATAATATGAATGAAAACAGACTTACTTTGCTCTGCTTTAAGCTTTAGCTCAGCTATAGCTGCTTTTCTCACATCTCCAGCAGGAAACCTTTCCTCAAAAGTAGAACAGTTTCTTGTAAAATGTCTCTTAACGTTTGACTTTTTATGAGGCTGAAGTCGCTTCTCATTCACCAGCTTCTTGTTTGAACTTTCCTAGTCCACCTTAAATGGTGCCTGAGGCACCAGAATGTAACTGCTGCAACATTTAAGGTGGAACGGGACAATTCGAACAAGAATCGTCAGCTTTGTGACTTTCTAGTGTTCAAGTTTTTCGCTGCAGATTAAACGTATCAGGAAGTCCATTTGTCTCCAAATTACCAATGTTTGTCTCGAAATTGTCTCTTTGCCGTTACGCTGACTACTAACCTGCCTTAGAGATACTGAACTACCACACACGGTTAACCTCACAGCTCCAGAGCTAAAAAGTATAGAAGTGAATTTCAGGCACCAAACATGTCGTGGCTGACGGACTGCATTTGGAGAAAGGGGGGGGACCAGTTTAAATTTGGTCTTTAGCCGAAGTATTTCTTTAATGCAGGCCTGGTTTGAGCAGAATGTGTGTCTGTGAGAAATGGAACAAAGACAGAGGGTGTGAAGACACTTATGTCAGTGCAGCCATTGATGTGCATGATGGATTATGTCATAACTCATTCACATACACAGCTGTTGTTCTGCACATATCATTCTGAACACGGGGCCCTGAAAAACACTGAGATATGCCAACTGTCTGCCATTGCACGGATCCATCTTCAGCACAGTGTGATCAATAACACATATTCACACACGAAACAGCTGCTCAGAGAACTGTTTCCAACTCCTCTTTAAAGCTCCATCGGCTGTGGCTGATTGGAAAAACAGCACACGACACAACAAACGCGGCCGTACACACAAAACAAATGTCATCTCAACTAAGCTTACACAATCCTCAACTGACCTACCCAAGCTCCGCCCACAAACGCAGGGATAAGCTGCACAGACGCTGGCGAGAATCCCACCCAACCTAATGAGAAACTGTAGAACAGACTCAGTTTATATCACAATACCTACATTTAGAGCCGGCTATTCATTCAGCCTAATGAGAAACTGTGGAACAGACTCAGTTTATATCACAATACCTACATTTAGAGTCAGTTATTCATTCAGCCTAATGAGAAACTGTAGAACAGACTCAGTTTATATCACAATACCTACATTTAGAGTCGGTTATTCATTCAGCCTAATGAGAAACTGTAGAACAGACTCAGTTTATATCACAATACCTACATTTAGAGTCGGTTATTCATTCAGCCTAATGAGAAACTGTAGAACAGACTCAGTTTATATCACAATACCTACATTTAGAGTCGGTTATTCATTCAGCCTAATGAGAAACTGTAGAACAGACTCAGTTTATATCACAATACCTACATTTAGAGTCGGTTATTCATTCAGCCTAATGAGAAACTGTAGAACACAGCTTATTAAGTAAAGACCATGGTTCTATATAGAGCCATGAACACTCAAAGAACCATGTGCATGCTTTAAAGGTTCTTTTTTGTTGAAATGGCTCTTCAGACTGATAGAGAATGTATTGCATTTGGTTCTACATAGCACCAAAAAGGGTATTCTATTGTTACAATGTCTATCTTGGGAGGGTTCTTCTATTGTCCACTTTTTGTCCATTTTACAGTATAATTTCTATATAGAATATTTTTGCTGTATGGAGCCTTTTCAAAAAAGTTATATACAGAGCCATATACAAGACATTCTCCATCTGAAGAACCATTTCACCATGCGTAGAACCATTTAAGCATACAAATGGTTATATGAGTGCTCATGGTTCTATATAGAACCACTATCTGTAGTAAAGAACCCTTGAAGAACCATCTTTTTTAAGAGTGTATTTATACATTTGATGAACATCTAATAGCTTTGAATTGATTTTTTGGCTGTATGTCATTTTTTACACATTTATTCACACTCAAATTAAAATTTATTTTGTTTTGTTGCAAAATCAGTGAATTTAATGATGAATAGACAATTTTTAGCCTTTCAGTTTGGTCAAGTTGAAAAATATCTGGATTAAACTAAAGAAAATGTCAGATTTGCATACAGACACTAAAGGGTTAAATGTCACTGTCTCAGATGGCCCCAGACTTCTGCTGAGCACCTGTTCCATCCTCTTGTTCTTCATCATAACTGCTCTTACTGCTTGTGTGCACTCTGAACAATACAGAACCCTTTTTGGTGCTATATGGAACCCTTTTCAAGAAGGTGCTACACAGAACCAAATACAACACATTCTCCATCAATCTGAAAACCATTTCACCAAGCAGAGAACGCTTCAATCATGAAAACGGTTTTGTGGAGTGCTCATGGTTCTATACAGAACCCCTGTCTTCACAAAAGAACCCTTAAAGAACCATCTTTTTAAAGAGTGTAGAAGAGGCGGATCCTGTTTCACCAAAACGTGGACCTTTTAATGACTGTACAGTCTCATGTAGGTCAGCCTTTGACCTGATGCCACTTTTACATTTTAAATAATTATCGCATTTTCAGTAAACTCCCCTCGTCCAGCACGTCCACTGTTCACTACAGGGGACGCTACATATCCCCGTTCTAAGAATATCTCGAAATAAATTTAGTAAAATGAAAAGACGGAGTCTTTCACTAAAATATACACTTTAATTAGACTGCGCTGAGAGCTTTTCGGTGACTTACTGAAACGTTTTCACAGCCTGGTTTGCACACAAAGATGCTCTCTGTCCAGAACTCTCATCTGCACTATATTCAGCCAGACTGAGCTCAGATCTTCACTGAGGGAGTCTTTATTCTTTAGTGTTGCTGCATAACGCTGGGTTCTCACATTAAAGTGCGACCCTACCGAGCTGGACTGTGTCGATCTAGCGGAAATGAG